TTTTCCCTTGCTGCTTTTAATATTTTTTCTTTGTATTTAATTTTTGATAATTTAATTAATATATCTCCTGGCATGCTTCTCCTTGGATTTATCCTGTATGGGACTCTCTGCACTTCCTGGACTTCCTTTCCCATATTAAGGAAGTTTTCAACTATAATCTCTTCAGATATTTTCTCAGTTCCTTTCTTTTTCTCCTCGTCTTCTGGGACCCCTATAATTCGAATATTGTTGTGTTTAATGTTGTCCCAGAGGTCTCTGAGACTGTCCTCAATTCTTTTCATTCTTTTTTCTTTAATCTGCTCTGTGGTAGTTATTTCCACTCTTTTATCTTCCAGGTCACTTATCCGTTCTTCTGCCTCAGTTATTCTGCTATTGATTCCTTCTAGAGAATTTTTAATTTCATTTGTTGTGTTGTTCATCATTGTTTGTTTGCTCTTTAGTTTTATAGGTCCTTGTTAAACGTTTCTTGTGTTTTCTCCATTCTGTTTCCCAGATTTTGGATCATCTTTACTACCATTACTCTGAATTCCTTTTCAGGTAGACTACCTATTTCCTCTTCATTTGTTTGGTCTGGTGGCTTTTTACCTTGTTCCTTCATCTGCTGTGTGTTTCTCTGTTTTCTCATTTTGCTTAACTTCCTGTGTTTGGGGTCTCCTTTTCGCAGGCTGCAGGTTCATAATTCCCGTTGTTTTTGGTGTCTGCCACAGGGGGTAAGGTTGGTTCAGTGTGTTGCGTAGACTTCCTGTTGGAGGGGACTGGTGGCTGTGCTCTGGTGGATGAGGCTGGATCTTGTCTTTCTTGCAGGACCACATTCGGTGGTGTTTTGGGGTGTCTGTGACCTTATTATGATTTTAGGCAGCCTTTCTGCTAATGGGTGGTGTTGTGTTCCTGTCTTGCTAGTTGTTTGGCATGTCTAGCTAGGGTGTCCAGCACTGTAGCTTGCTGGTTGTTGAGTGGAGGTGGGTCTTAGCATTGAGATAGACATGTCTGGGAGAGCTTTTTCTGTTTGATGTTACATGGATCCAGGAGGTCTCTGGTTGACCAATGTCTGGAACTCAGTTCTCCCACATCAGAGGCACAGGCTTGACACTCGGCTGGAACACCAACACTTTGTCAGCCACACGGCTCAGAAAAAAAGGGAGAAGAAAAGAAAGAAAGAAAGAAAGAAAGAAAGAAAATAAAATAATTATAATAAAAAAATTTTAAAAATTATTAAAAATTAAAAAAATATTATTAAAGTAATAAACAAAAAAAAGTAAAGAACGAACAGAACAACCAAACCAAAAAACAAATCCACCAAAGATAATAAGTGATAGAAACTATATTTAAAAAAAAAAAAAAGGACAGACAGAACCCTAGGACAAATGGTAAAAGCAAAGCAATACACACAAAATCACACCAAGAAACTTACACATACACAGTCAGAAAAAGAGAAAAAGGGGAAAAATTATATATCTATACTAAAAAAGAAAAAAGGAAGAGAGCAACCTAATCAATAAACAAACCTACCAATGATAATAAGCTCTAAATACTAAACTAAGTGAAACATAAATCCAGAAACAAATTTGATGCAGAAAGCAAACGCCAAGTCTACAGTTACTCCCAAAGTCCACCTCCTCAATTTTGGGATGTTTCATTGTCTATTCAGGTATTCCACAGATGCCGCGTGCATCAAGTTGACTGTGGAGATTACCTGAGGGCGTCTGTTCTTCGACCAGACAGGACGGGGTTAACAAAGCAGCTGATTCGGGGGCTCTGGCTCACTCAGGCCCGGGGGAGGGAGGGGTGCGGATGTGGGGCGAGCCTGTGGCAGCAGAGACCAGCATGACGTTGCAACAGCCTGAGGCGTGCCGTGTGTTCTCCCTGGGAGGTTGTCCCTGCATCACGGGACCCTGGCAGTGGCGGGCTGCACAGGCTCCCAGGAGGGGAGGTGCGGACAGTGACCTGTGCTTGCGCACAGGCTTCTTGGTGGCTTCAGCAGCAGCCTTAGCGTTTCATGCCCGTCTCTGGGGTCTGCGCTGATAGCCACAGATCGCGCCAGTCTCTGGAGCTTGTTTAGGCGGTGCTCTGAATCCCCTCTCCTCGCGCACCCTAAAACAATGGTCTGTTGCCTCTTCAGCAGCTCCAGACTTTTTCCCGGACTTCCTCCCAGCTAGACGTGGCGCACTAGCCCCTTCAGGCTGTGTTCACACAGCCAACCCCAGTCCTCTCCCTGGGATCTGGCCTCCGAAGCCCAAGCCTCAGCTCCCAGCCCCCACCCATGCCGGCGGGTGAGCAGACAAGCCTCTCGGGCTGGTGACTTCTGGTCAGCACCGATCCTCTGTGCGGGAATCTCTCCACTTTGCCCTCTGCACCCCCATTGTTGTGCTGTCCTCAGTGGCTCTGAAGCTTCCCCCCTCCGCCACCCCCAATGTCTCCACCCTCGAAGGGGCTTCCTAGCCTGTGGAAACTTTTCCTCCTTCACAGCTCCTTCCCAGAAGTGCAGGTCCCGTCCCAATTCTTTTGTCTGTTTTTTCTTTTGCCCTACCCAGGTACATGGGGAGTTTCTTGCCTTTTGGGAAGTCTGAGGTCTTCTGCCAGCGTTCAGTAGGTGTTCTGTAGGAGTTGTTCCACATGTAGATGTATTTCTGATGTATTTGTGGGAAGGAAGGTGATTTCCATGTCTTACTCCTCTGTCATCTTGAAGGTTTCCCCATGACAATATTATTGACTATATTCCCCACACTGTATATTTCATCCCCATAACTCATTTGGTAACTGGAAGTTTGTACCTCTTAATCTCCCTCATCTATTTCACTCATCCCCCTACCCCTTCCCCTTTGGCAACCACCTGTTTATTCTCTGTATCTATGAGTCTGTTCTGTTTTGTTATGTTTGTTCATTTGTTTTGTTTTTTAGATAACATATATAAGTGAGATCATAGGGTATTTATCTTTCTCCTATTTCACTTAGTATTATACCTTCTAGGCTCATTCATGTTGTCACAAATGTGAGATTTCATTCTTTTTTATGCCTAGTAATATTTTATGGCTGAGTAATATTCCATTGTATATATATGTCACATCTTCCTTATCCATTTATCTATTGATAGACACTTATGTTGCTTCCATATCTTGGCTGTTGTAAATAATGCTGCTATGAACATTGGGGTGCATATATGTTTTCGAATTAGTGCTTTTGTTTTCTTTGGAGAAATACTGAGAAGTGGAATTGCTGGATCATATGGTAGTTCTATTTTTAGTTTTTTGAGGAACTGCCATACTGTTTCCCATAGGGTCTGCAGCAACTTACATTCCCCCCAACAGTGTACCAGGGTTGCCTTTTCTCTACATCCTTGCCAACAGTTGTTATTTGTTGTCTTTTTGATGGTAGCCATTCTGACAGGTGTGAGGTGATATCTCATTATAGTTTTGATTTGCATTTCCCCAATGATTAGTGATGTTGAGCATCTTTTAATGTGCCTGTTGGCCATCTGTATGACTCCTTTGGAAAAATGTCTGTTCAGGTCCTCTGCCCGTTTTTTTAACTGGGTTGTTTTTTGATGTTGTCTGTCCTATATTTCATCCAAGGCACAGATGAACGACAAGTGTGTTTGAAGGCAGTTGTCTGGAAAAGAACTCTTTTATAATTGTACCCTATCAAGTCCAGTTCTTTTGTTTAGCCAGCTACAAATGTGTTCACTGCTACATCCACACAAATGAATTGGGTACCTGTGATGTGCAAGATTCTGGCCTGTAAAGGGTTTGGGAATAAATAATATAAGAAACAAAAGGCTTTGTAAAATTGGGCTGTTCTGGGAGCTACAGAAAGTAAGGACATGGGGGTTCAGGGGAGGGAGAAAGAACTTTAAGCAAGGACATTAGGAGAAAGAAGAGGGAGAATTTGATTTGGGACTTTAAAAAATAAGCATAAGATTATGTTAAACATAAGAATTTGATAGAGAGTGTGAAAGACATTGTAGTTGGGGAGGTAACTTGAACAAAGTAACGCAAGTTACAAAGTGCAAGAGGTACAGCTGGGAGGCGGAAATAGAAAAGTAGAAAAAAGTAGAATTTTTTTCCCTCTTTCTCCTTCTCCCTCTCCTTCCCCTTTTGTTTTCTGCTTTCCTTCCTTCCCTCCCTCTTTTTTTTTTTTTTTTTTGCCTGAAGCAAAAGATTCGTTTATCTGCATAAGTGGTTAATGGTTTGCTTTAAGTAGTCTGTAATCCAGAGCCTGATGCTTACTCCTTACTAGTTAGATTCCTTGTTATTCTCAAACAGGAGAATGAAGAGGCAGTGGTGGAGATTTCAATTTGAGGAAGTCAAAAGGTGTCTGTGTTCTCGTGTGTGGAAGGAAGGAAGAAGTGTGCGTGTCTTGCATTTCTAAAGTGACAATTTTCATATTTTGACCCCATGCCTCTGATCCTAATACGTTCCCTTACCATTTTATGTTGTATATTTTATAAAACTAAAAAAGAAACACCCACGTTCTTTTAAGTACTCATTGCTACGTTACAGAACACTTGTGCTGTAACCGTGCAAGGTTTTTCAGAGTGTACATGATGGGTTCGCTGTGCTTTTGCAGTTGTCCTCCAACATGACTTAACTGGAAATTCCAGAGGCATTTATGCTCCTTATGTGAAGCCCTGTGATTTGTATTAATGAACTCTAGACCTGAAATGTTCCTGTTTGTCATAATGATCTTGCCCCTTTCCTAACCATATTCCTCATGAGTTAATTCTTGTCTTAGTTTGTCTCCAGTAAAACATCTGACATCCAGAGCTATGTCTTGGTGTCAGCTCAGAGAGCCACCTGTCATCTACGAGACAGCCCCAGGTAAATTTGTGTTGTTCGGGGAATTTGATATTGATGGTGTTTGTATGGTGGAAACGATCTCTACACTTCAACAGTGGGATTTTGCAATCAACAGGGTAAAATCTAAGTTCCAAACAAGGTGTATTTATCTTGCCACAGACTCAGCAGGGATCTCTTAGGCTTATTCTGCGTCTCCTTTTTTTCCAGAGCATTTTGTCAAGGCCCTGCCAGAATACCACGTGGTGGCTCCTGTCCGAGTCGACGCGAGCGGACATTTTCTATCTTATGGCTTGCACCATCCTGTCACCAGCAGCAGGAGGAAGAGAGATTTGGATGGCCCAGAGGACCGGGTGTACTATAGAATTTCCCATGAGGAGAAGGACCTGTTTTTTAACTTGACGGTCAATCAGGGATTACTTTCCAAAAGCTACATCGTGGAGAGGAGATATGGGAACCTCTCCCATGTGAAGATGGAGGCTTCCTCGGGTCCCCCCTGCCATCTCAGGGGTACAGTTCTGCAGCAAGGCACCAGGGTTGGGACTGCAGCCCTCAGTGCCTGCCATGGACTGGTGAGTCCCCTTACTTCTCTGCCCTCAGTCCCTGACTCTCGTGGCCTGCACACCCACTGCCAGTGGGTTCGTAGATGCATTTAACACATAGGAACTGAGCACTTGTGGTGTGCATGGTCCAGGCTTCCAAACAGGCTGGGGAGAAAATGCATAAAATTAAAATCAGTCTGGGTGGTACGGGGAATAAGGACATTGAGGGTCCAGGAAGAACTTCAACTAGGAATATCAGGGCAAGGAGAGGAGGGGATCGGAGCTGGGTCTTCAACCTCCGAGGCAGCTCTGAGCGTGCTGGTGACTGACTGGGTGGCCACCCCTCCTGAGTGCGAGGCTTACAGATGGGGTGGTGATGGCAGCAACTGCTATGATCTAATTGTTGACTGTGGGTAGCTTATGATCAGATTTCATGGGGGCCCTTGGGCGGTCAGTTGATTCCTTTGTGCCTCTGTTTTCTCCTCTGTAAAATGGAGATAATGATAGCACCCAACTCACAGAGCAGGGGTTGGCAAACTACAGCCCACAGGCCAAATCTGGACCACCTCTTGTTTCTATAAATAAAACTTTATTGAAACACAGATATGCCCATGTGTTTATATTGTCTACGGCTGCTTTTGAGCTGCAACAGCAGAGCTGAGTGGTCAGGATAGAGACCGTATGGGGCCACGAGGCCCCAGATATTTGCCATCTGGTCTTTGCAGAAAAAGTTTGCTGAGCCCTGTAATAGAGTACTGTGAGAATTAAATGAATTCATATATATATAAATCTTAGAAGAGTATCTAGTAACTAATACTCAATGAATATTGGCTGCTATTATTATTATTTATATTTCTAACATGCCAGGCACTGGAATGTGTGGCTTATTATGTGAGTTATGCACACTGTCCTCTCTACAGTGTCCCCCCACCCCGCCACCAGTGTAGCTGTGTTTTAACAGATGGTGCAGTTTGGAGATGTTGAATATCTTTACTGCGCTCTTGTTAATTCGAGCCCGAGTCTTTCAACTGCTCTGTACTGCATCTCAAAATGTGACCAAGCTTGTTTTTCAAAATTTAAACCTTAAAAAAAAAGTGGTCCCTTTGTTCCGCCTTACTTCTAGCAGTGACAACAGTGACAGCCCCACTGGCAGCTGCTTGGCGAACAATGCCTAGGACTTATGTTGAGGTCTGGTCATGCTGGAGTAGGGGGCAGCACTAACCAAGGGTACTTAGGGACTGACTGCGGGCAGAAAGCCTCCGGAGTCCTGGGCAGAGTTGTGGCAGAGACTTGGGCATCGGCCTTGGCACCTGTACCTGGGCTTTTTTTTTTTTTTAAATAAATTTATTTATTTATTTATTTGTTTGTTTGTTTATTTTTGGCTGCGTTGGGCCTTTGTTGCTGCGCGGGCTTTCTCTAGTTGTGATGAGTGGGGGCTTCTCATTGCGGTGGCTTCTCTTGTTGTGGAGCACGGGCTCTAGGCGTGTGGGCTTCAGTAGTTGTGGCATGTGGGCTCAGTAGTTGTGGCGCATTGGCTTAGTTGCTCCACGGCATGTGGGATCTTCCTGGACCAGGGTTCAAACCCGTGTCCCCTGCGTTGGCAGGTGGATTCTTAACCACTGTGCCACCAGGGAAGTCTGACCGGGGTTGTTTTGCCGGGCAAACCCGCTAGTGGCGTTCACATTCCTACAGGAAGCGCTCATCTCAAATCCTCCCATCCTTACTGCCAGTTTGATAAGAACCCTGCTCTTCATAATTTAAGAGTCTGTTTATCCTGTACCTGTCTAGTTTGGCTTTGCTTGAAAACTGTGGGAAAATTAATGTAAAACATTGTACATCAGTTTAAAGGTACCAAGAAAGTTCCATGCTCTGAAGGACCTCCGGGGATGAATCGTTTTGTACGATAAGTGGAAAGTCTTGCTTTGCCTTTTTTTGGTAAATCTAGATTTTCATATGTAGCTATTTATCATTTCATAAATGACACAAAATAAAAAAAGATGCCTTATTCTTTTCTTCTTCTCCCAGGGTCTCATACATTGCTTGGTTGAACCAGGGGATATCTCCTGGCTCCGTGGTCCTAATCCTCTGGGCTTCCTCTGGGTTCATATCACATTTTCCCTTTGCAATTTCTGCTTTCATTTCTATGAGACAACCCTGGAAGCATCAGTGTCACCTGATCCTCTACGACTAGGGTAACAGAAGAAAGAGCCCTTGTTCTAGAAGGACAGGCACATAGGAGTGAAGTGATCCACAAAACAAACATGCAAAAGCCACACTGCTCCAGAGAACACTGATGGGGGAACCCACATATAGTCATTCACCATTAACCATTCATAAACTGTTATCATGCTCACAAAATCCTAGAAAGTTTGAATGCCATTGCCTTTCTGTGGCCTAGAGCAGTTTGATCTGTGACTTCACAGAATCAACATCACCTGGGATTTCATTAAAAAGGCAGATTCATGGGCTCCACTTCAGAACCAGTGCATCAGAATCTCTGGGGGTGGACAGAAACCTATGTGAGTGTGTTTTAACAGCTTTACTGAGATGTAATTCACATACGTACAATTTACCCACTTAAAGTATACAATCCAATGGCTTTAAATATATTCACAGGGTTTTGCAGCCATCACCACAATAGATTTTAGAACATTCTCATTAGCCCCCAAAGAAACCCCTTAGCAGTCACTCTCCAATCCTCCCATCTCCCCTCCTCATTGGGAGCCTCAAAACTACTTTTGGTGTCTGTTAACTGCTTTCTTTGAAACCTTTGATTTAATGACCTCTTCAGGAGATTCTGATGCTCCCTAAAGGCCTGGACTAGGGCAGTCATTCTTAACCCAGGCTGAACATTAGATCAACTAAGGCTTTTTTTTTAAAATTGAAATATAGTTGATTTACAATACTGTGTTAATTTCAGGTGTACGGCAAAGTGATTCAGTTATATATATATATATATGCGTATATATATATATATATATTTCAGATTACTTTTCATTATAGGTTATTACAAGTTACTGAATAGTTATTCCCTGTACTGTATAGTAGTACCTAAGGAGCTTTAAAAAAGTACCCATGCCACAACCCCATCTTCCAGATGCTCTGATTTGACTGGTCAGTGGAGGTGGAGCCCAGGCATCAGTATTTTTAAAAGCTCTCTAGGAGATTCCGATGTGCATTAGGTGTTGCCAATCACTGGATTAGTGCGAGTGGGTATTAATTAGCAGTATTAGCCAATATTGCTCTAAAGTAGCCGCTCACCCCAGGTGATTCTAGCATGCAGCCAGGGTTGAGGACCATTGCCCTCAATTTCTCCCTACTTCCATCTTGTTTTCTCTAAGGGAAATTGCATACTGTTTAGCATTATTCCAGGCTTGGGAATAGAATACTGGGAGCTTTGCAATTTCTAATGGCCCCAGAGAGCTGCAAGATCCACCATGTGGCCATTTTCAGATTCAGATTTCAGATTCATGCTAAGCACAGGAGCACAAAGAAACAAATGTGAACTAATAGACTTATGTGGTGGCCAAGATGATGGAAAGTTTTAGATCTAAATCACTGAATGATGTTTTTCCAGGAGAACCAGTCCACTGGGATTATTTTGGATCTTTTCACACATAATTGGACAATTAATGGATGATTATAAAAAAGGCACCGAAAGCCAAATGAGTTTCTTTTGTGAGCACGCAAGTTGGCTGGCTTCAAGCTCATTTGCTCATGTGCCATCATTTCACAGTGCTCATCTACAGTGGTTCTAGTCAAAAGGTAGTGGTTGGACTTGCGTCTGATTTCTCCTGGCCAGTTGTCTGGGGCCTGATCTCCAGGATATTTATTTTCCTTTTCACCCAGGGACGACCCCACACTCAGATTCACAGGATGGCAGGCTTAGGATATGCTGCCTCTAAGCCTCCCAGCACCCTTAGGGACAGAGGTGGCTTTGGGGAAGGCTTTCTGAGGCAGGAAACCCTCTTGTGTGGAGCAGGACATTTGCTTCTTGTTCGTATGGCTCAGGGCTGGCATATTCTTTGCTTCAGATGGGCTCATCCTAATGTTGGAGGCTGTGTTCTCTTGGAGTTTTCTATAATTTGAGGTTCATCTAGTCTCCCTTGGAGAAGACTCAGATGGTTACAAACTGAAGACCCAAGAAAGGTCACCCATGACAAGATGTGGGATGACCTCCTTCCTCCAGTTAATATCCTCTCACACGGCTCTGGTACCCATCCTCTTGGAAGCTGCTTTCAGACCGGGTCAGTCCCCATCTGAAAGTTGGCTCAGCAACTTTCTCTCTGTCATCTTCACCATTTTCACCATCTTTTCCCCTCAACACTTGTATAAACTTTGAAGTTACGGAATTTGTTTCCTCTGAACAGTTTAGTTGATTTGTTTTATTCTATGTTCTTTGATAGAGAAACTGTATTCTTTAATCAATTAGATTTGGAATTCATCCGCAGTGGGAGTTGTTACCTGTGAGAACCCTGGGGTGGTGCTGGATTTGCTGTTATCAAGGGCCCTACAGGATGTGTTGCAGGCTAGTTTGCCGTTCGTATTTCAGTTTAGATTTCTGGACTGGGAGGATAGCGCAAGGTGTTAGACTCCACACTTACGTGTGATACAGGATTGGGGTTCTGCCTCTTCATGGAGTACCCCACTTCCACCAAGGGGCTTGGGCTAGGCACGCACTATCTAGACTGCATACTTGAGTCAGTAAAAAATTATTTTTAATTCTTACTCACAGTCAGGCACAGTATTTCTCAGCTCAGCCTTTATTAAAGTGAATACAGTTCTTGGCTCCATCCTAAACTAGCCTCAATTCCAGGCCCTGCTGAGGAGTTGAAGGCTGGCCCCTAATCTGAACAGCAGGGTTATTCAACTTCAACTCCTACTCAACTCTCTTTCGCTTTCCCTTTGGGCCTATTGAGATTTCCTGTCTTGTTTCAAGCTCAACTATGGATTAAAATTTTGAAAAGGTGTTATTTTTAGTTTTTTTAGAGTTAAACTTTTTATCTTGAGATAATTGTAGTTTCATATGC